GCGCCACAAAGCCCCCGGGAGGAGTGCGCCGCGCGCGGCCGGCCCGGCGGGGGACGGGGACGGACAGACAGGTGACAGCCGGGGAGCTAGGTGGGGAGACTTCAGGAAGTGGAGCGCGGCGCGGGCTGGAACGCTGGCTGAGCCAGACAGGCCGGGAACCTCCAAAGCCCTCGGGAATATTTACCCTGGAAGGAGGGTGGCCCCGAAACTATTAAGAGCCCCCGTTAGAAGGGACTGGGAAGAGCTTTCCGTAAGGGCAGAGCCTGAAACCGCCTCACTTCTGGGCCCGAGAACACCTAGGAGGAGGACCCAGAGTGGCCGAGTTCAACACAATGTGGGTCACTAGAAGGAAACGTGCCACCAAGCCTGAAGGTCAGGAGAGGGGGGCTCGGCGATCTGGACTGAGGTACAGCCCTGGTGAATGGGCATCGGCACTTAAGACTGATCCTCTTATGTAGATCATCGGTTAAACGCACTTGCCGGAATCGAGAACATTTACCCTCTCACCCCCATGCGTCCTTTACAGAGTGTGGTACCATTTTAGCACCCTGAAGGCAGTTAGCCCTTAAACAGGAACACAAATGTTATAGGAATTATTTTTCAGAACACACTGGTAGGGGAAGGAGAAAAATCAGATCAATGTCTCATCACACAGAAAAGCAACAAGTTAGAACAAGTACTGAAATAAGAGGGAAATATGCAAATTAAGCTCTTTAAAAACTACCAATGCACTCTCAGGTATACCTGCTGACAAATCTAAGAAAAGGAGAGGGTGAAACAAGAAAAGTCCAGGGAAGGTGGCCCTGCTGGGGGAGAACAAGTTGAGGGGAAACAGTGAAAATACATCCCTCCTAAGAGCACTCGAGTTTCACCCACAAACCAGAAAGATTGGTCAAAACCAAGGAAGGCCACCATGAATCTTGGTATAGGTAAGCCCAAGCCCTGAGCAGAAGGCGGCCCAGGTGGTAACACCCAAAACGGCATCCAAAACCGAGAAGAAACTTAAGGGCATCTTTACTAAAAAGCCTAAGTGAGACTACATTTGTAAAAGTTGGCATGTCAGAAAATAAGGGTTCTGTAACGTATAGGAAATAGGATCAACAAGGAATACACAACTATGTAAAATAGACCACTGGTGTTAAGGTCTGTATTGTGGAAGGGGGACAGTTCGACTTATCAAAAAAAGTGTGTATTTGGAAAAAAAAAAAAAAAAAGACCTCAGTCATGACAGTGGTTTCCCAGTCTGAGTTCAATTTGCAATTTCCAGTATGGACATTGTAATAGTAATAGTGGCTTCCACTGGTCATTCTGGGCATGTTTCCCTGAAACCAACTTTGTTTTCAGAAGAAACAGTGCAGTCTAGGATCATGTTGTACGAATCTACAAACAGAAAAATTTTTAAATAAAAATTACAGTGGACTATAGCTACAATGCCATTTGACCATTCGACTTCACCTCAAGTTGAATGTTTAAAAGAAAAAAAACAAAAAAACACGAGACAAAACAAAACTTGAGCTAAGAGAAAGGAACACTCAAAAAAAGTTACTGCAAATATCAGTATTAAGACAGACTAAAGTAAAATAGTGTAAATACATCTATCTCATCATCTTGCAAAAACAGACAAAAGGCCTCCTGATTGTCTAGCCGCCTAATGAAATAGTTGGGAACAAGGAAATGAAAACGGTCGTTTTTAAATTTGGATAAGACCACTTATCCAGGAGTCACAAACTGGTTTATAAATGCACAAGTCCGTAAGAAGGACTGACAGAGCTTTGGACAATGATAAACAGGATGAGCATAAAGATCCCTAACAGTAACTTTACTATAAAAAGTAACACTATAGTGCATCAGAAAGCTACTCATCATATATACATATTAATTTTCTCTCAAACACATGCTCTATGCCACAACTATGTCAGAAGTGACATAAGTAAAATGGTACACAGAGCTTTAGACCCCAGTGGTATGTGCTACATTGATGAGCTTAATTACTATAGGTGACCTGCTGCTTTAAAGTGTTCATTATATCTGCTGACTATCGGCCAGTGCAAACCCAGATCAAAATGTAGCAGGAAAGAAGAAAGGTCACTAGGAAAATGCCACCTTCCTGGGCATGTGTGAGCATATAAACTATCCTGGGGGTGTGTGTGCAAAATATCAACTGATCCTACACCGGCATCTCATCTCCACCATAAAGATGCAAGCAAACGTTGAAAAAAGTGAAACTTGTGCAGTCTGGCCATCACAACAGAAAACCTCAGGACATGAAAAACTGCAGCTCAGATACATGAACTAGGTAACACGTGGACAGAGTTGAAAGGCGGTGCACCCATCCTCCGTCACGTGGGAAGACATTGAGGCTGGCTGCACAAAGAAAGCGAAGAGAAAATATTGTAACGGATACACGAGATTTTTTAAAAACTTAATGAAAGGACCACAGCATGTTTCAGATGGCAACGTATTAAGATAAATATGCAGGCAGATATCCGAAAGCATTAAAACGCATTCAGAGTTCTGAATAGCACATACATTTATAATAAACAGAGAAAGCATTTAGAATTCGAAAGCTTTTAAGATATGGCAATTCCGCCAGTGACTGTGAAGCAGTGCCTCCCACCATAACACTTTCTAAGGACATGTCCCCCCCTCCAGCTTTTTTAATTCAAATACAGTTGGCTACCTCTCTACACACTTAAAACAGCACCATCTCCCTAGCACACACTGCTCTTTTTGTCATATCGACTCTTTGTTTTCTGGCTTTAGCTGCAGGTGGTGTTTTCCATGTATGAATTTCTGGGAATATGGTCTGTGTTGGCCATATATGGATTTCTATTTGAGCCATATGTTTTGCTGTTCTGTGTCTCATTTTGTCTGTCTGAGATGTCAGGACTGATTTCCACATCGTTTCTTGAATGGACCAAATACTGATTTGTTCAGAGCTGGGTAGAAAGGCTGAGGCTGGAGCCCAAACAACTTTGTCAAAACATATACCGGAGAGAAAATGCAATATCCCGTAAACATCTGCACCCTCCTTCTGTATGATGACCCGTACCATCACATCTGCATGCAGCTTAAGAAAGAATCGACTTAGATGAGTACCAAAGTCTGCGGTGTGTGTGGGCACGCAGCTTAATCAGGCAGAAGCCACGTCTCTGGAGGTCACGGCATGGCTCATATCAGTGGCCCTACCCAGAGCTGGCGATCCTGCAGGCCACCTGACCCAACCTCAGACGTGGGGAAGGGGAGCTGCCTAATGCTTTACGTAGTTAGTTCATTATCAGAACACTGATTAAACTCTCTGACTAATTCTATAAAAAAACCTCAGGCCCCCATTATAGATTCGCATGGCATTCTGTGTTTCCCCTTTGCACCTGTCATCAGAGCCCATTAATCAATTAGCAATTTGGATAATTATTGGCTTAATAAATGGCACCCTGACTAGACTGTAAGCCCTACCACAGCAGAGACTGCTCCTTGCTCACTGCCATACTACCAGAAACTCTGTCCCTGCAACACTGACATTATGAATGAGTGAATGAGAGCGAAAAGCGCCGTGTCATTGGCAAGTAATTTCCAGCACTAATTGCCCTGACAATGCTTTTTAGAGACTGC